GAATTGGAACCGCTGGGGATTTTTAACATTCCGTCGTCAAGCGATTGGATAATAATTAAGTCACATTCTATTATTACTCAATTGCTTGACAGCGGAATGTTAAACATCCCCTGCGAATCCAATTCGAGTACCCGTTTGCGGAACACTAGTTCAGGTTGTGTTGTCCGGCCCAAATTATACACTTAATTTTGCCCAAAGTGGTATTGTTACGCATTGCAATTTTCACTCCAAGTTAGGAAACATTGTTGGTCACAGATTTTCATTTCATTATCGTCATGATATAACTGACAAATCATACAGTTATTAAAAATATACGTACGTACGTACGTTCCTTTTTTTTTGTTTCTCCGTGTAAAGCCCGAGTCAAAAAGCTCGATACGCAGTTGATGGTAAATTCTATCAGTTTTCGAATTGTGTTAAAGAAATACTGATGACGAAGAGGCTCAGTAACTTTAATTTTTATTTACTAGTATAACGGCAGTAATCCATCCCAGGACAATTTTTCTAATGTTCACCGTCCCGCTCTTCCTCCTCCGCAGACAAGCATTTTCATAAATGCTTATCAACAAGACGGTGTACAAAATCATGATGCCGGTAATACTCTTGCAAATAAATTACCTCCTATCCTTCCTCCTATATCTGATCCTCCGTCCGTTCCTCAGGCTGGTCAAGCTAATCGTCCTTCTCGACCAAGGTATAAAGTAAAGACAGATAAAACAGCATGGACGGTTGAGGAGGATAATTTATTACGCTTGGCAGTTCAACTTTATGGAGACAGATCTGAAAAATGGACAAAGATTGCAGCGTGTGTTCCTAATAGAACCAATAAAATGTGTAGAAAACGTTGGTTTCATTCCCTTGATCCAAACCTAAGAAAAGGGCCATGGACTAAAGAGGAGGATGAATTATTGATGAAAGCGGTTGAAAAGCATAAAAAAGTTTGGTGTAAAGTTGCTGAATCTATTCCGGGTAGGACAGATGACCAATGTGCAAAACGTTGGAAAGAATGTCTTGATCCAGAGATCGATCACACGGAGTGGACTGATCAAGAAGATCTTTTATTAATGCAAAAATACGCTGAATTAGGTACTCAATGGCAAAAAATATCAAAATTTTTTCCCGGACGTCCTGGATTACATTGTAGAAATAGATGGAGAAAGATAGAAAGGACGAAAAAATCTGCAAAGGAACCCTCGCTTGATATGATAATCATAACTCCAGATGATATATCTCCAACCACTTCACCTATTTTATCTCCTGACTTATCTTTACAATCAAACTTACAACCTCATATCGCTCCAACAATATATAATCCGTCACAAAGTATGAAGCCGAGTTCGCAAACACATTTGCAGCAATTGAGTGTACAACCAACATATTTGTCCACTCAAGACGTATTATCTCAAAATTCGACATCCGTCTTAGAATCAGATTTATCATCTGAACCAGTGGCAAATTTGGTTACTTCAACAACTTCTTGTGGTCCTAGTATTGCTTCATTATTGTCATCGCCAAGCGTAAATGGTCCTATGAATCTGTCGGGTCCTATGAATCAGCCGACAATAAATATGCCGAACATCGTACAAAATGTAAATGTGCAAAATACGCAAATGAATATGGACCATGTACCTTTACCTCCTCCGGTTTCGATGGAGGTTGAAAATGATACATCCACCCGGGCATATGGATGCGGTGTTCTTGGATGCGAACTTAATTTTTCAAATTCAAACGGATTATATTACCATATGAAAGCAGCACATCCCAACGTTAATAATTCTGACAAACCGTATCGTTGCGCGTTACCAGGTTGTTGTAAGAGTTATAAAAACATCAATGGCCTTCAATATCACATCGCCAATGCGAAAGGTTCGTCTGGGCATCAATGTGACAATAATGAGGAAGGATCTTCTGAAATAGTCGTTAAACCACATAAATGTCAAGTAGCTGGTTGTAAGAATAGTTATAGAACTCCCAATGGATTGCAATATCACCAAAAACATATTCATGGAAAGGAAAGCGATAAATATCGTGGAACTCAAGTGACAGCTCCTTCGAGTACTCAAAGATTCGATTCGGAGCCTTCAACATTGGACGTTACTGGTTCAATGGATGATAATACCTCTAATAATCATGATATGCAACATTGGACGTCGCCAGATGGATTTATGCAATCTGAATCGCACGAATCAAATCCACCTTCTTTCACAGTTCCTGATGCCATCTCTGTGACAAACTTATTAGATTTGAATACACCACATTTTGATGAACATCATATCATGGGAAATAATTAGAGTTTAGAACCGGGTTATAGTAAACCAGGTCACCGTGTCAAAACGGTTCAACCGGGTCAAAAATTTACAACTCGGTTGAATATGTAACCTCTAAAAATCTGTTACTATTACACAGAAAAATAAAATTTAACCTGTATTGTGAAAATAAACACCCTTTTTTGTTCTTACTAATTTATCTAAATGTTCAATCCCGCTAAGTCCATACAAACTTAATAAATCGGTTCTCATAACATGGCAACCCGGCTTTTAATTTTATTTTCAAAAAATTATATATACAAAAAACAGACTTTAAAAAAACTCACCTGAATATTAAGTATACTTGAAAAAAAATTTCAGTTTTGTAAATTTTGACCCGGCTGGGTTATGAGATCCGATTTATTAGATTTGTATGGCTAATCTGATATGTAACACACTGTGTGTGGTCGAAACGCTTGTAGATTAGTGATTCTATTTAAATTTATTAGTTTAAGATTAGGTGGAATCCCAAATAGTATATCTTTAATTTGCCATAATGTCGAATACTTTTGACATTTAATTTAATTATGATTAATTATAAATGTAATTATGTGATTTAATTAATAAAATAAATTTGATAAAGTAAAAAAAATAAAAATCAAATTTTTTTTTTTTTTTACTTGAGTAGTCTTGCTAGTCACTTTTATTATGGTTTTTGCACATATACATACAAACACAGGTCGAACGAATGAATAAAGGGTGAATAATAGGTAAATAATAGAAAAAAAAACTGCCATTATTCTACCCTATATCCGCCAAATAATGGCAGCATAACAGCAGCATAACAGTAGAATAATAGTAAAATAACAGGAGGTTTGTCAATATGAGTAA